AACCTCATGAAAACCTGAATGATAGACTTCTGATAATATGAATACGCTAATTTAATATTATTATTATTAGTCGAGTTATGTCATTTTCTAGGCTTTTCTATTTCAAAGTAGTTTCTAGACTTTTCTATACGCGTTTTTTTTTTTTTTTAATTTTATTTACTAACAACGTGTATTACGGGTTGCTTACTGCTAGTATGATAATAGTACCATATACATTAGAGCCCTGCAAATCAGCATTTTTTGTTTTGAACCAAATCTTTAATCTAAGCAGGTCTTGATTCGCGTTTCGAATCACATTTCGAATCAATATTTTTAAAACTAATATTAAACTTTATTTTTGAATAATATATATTCAAAAAAATATATAAATAATTGTAGAAACTTTTTTTTTGGTGCTTCTTGCCCTGATTAACATTTTAAACGATTGATTAAGAGTACAGTGACAAGAAAACCACATTTTGTAAAAATAGACTAAGGTTATGGGAAGAATTTAATGAAATCAATTATTAAATATGTAATTTTTTTAAGGCCTAGGCCAAAACAATCAAGGCCAAGGCAAAAATTTTCAAGGCCAAGGCCAACAGTTTCAAGGGCAAGATATCAATTTTTGACCTAAAGGAAAAGCCAAGGTTAAGGTCAAGCCCAAGGACTAACAACTCTGGTGGTATTTTTATCTTATGTTATTATTATATATTTTTGCTATAATTACTATTATTACTGTTATTATTATTATTATTATTATTCTCAAAACTATTGTAAAATTATAAACAGAAAATAAATAGCTTGTTGTTGTTGTTGCTGGTATATAACCACTTTTGGTTTTACATGACTTTTATCATACATATTACATACATATACATATTTTTAAATATTTTAAGGGACGACGTTTGACTGTTCTAGGGAGAGTGTGTGTGTGTGTGGGGGCAGCTCTCCCCCATGCCTTATACTAAATCCGCTACTGCATGTTTCATCAATCTTGTGCATTGTCTTTCTTTAACTCTTTCAAAAATTTTCTATACCTACCTCTCTTTTTCTTATAAAACTTCTCTCTAAATGCTGATACCCAATCAGTAGCACCTTTACGCTCTACATACCCAAACCAACTTAATTTTCCCTAGTGCATCCTAACAGACCATCACATCTATCCTAAGACCTTCACATCTATCCTAAGACCTACATCTAAGACCTACATCTATCCTAAGACATCACATCTATCCTAAGACCTACATCTATCCTAAGACATCACATCTATCCTAAGACCTAAGATCCTAAGACCATCACATTTGAACTCTTTAGAAAGATGTAATATTATATTACTATTTTATCTTCATTTAAGTGTAATTTTTTTTTTTTAATTGAATTAATTTATTAAAGTTTAAGAAATTTATTGATCAGAAAGAAAGTGGTATGTAAAATAAATTTATAGGGACATTTTCAAAGCTGAAAAGAAATGACAAGCATGTGAATTAAGAGAATAATTCAGGTTAGAAATTAAAAAGAGCAACTTCAGCAACAATTATCATAAGTGTACTTATCACATTTGGGCTGACTTTCCCATTGATGCCTTTTCTCTTTTAGACAAAATCCAAAAATAAAAATACAAGTTACAAAAAAAATATTAATGTTCAAGGATTATCTTTTTCTGGATATATCTGGAATTCCTGATATTTTCTCTATTTTTTGTTTTTTTGGATATCCAAAATAGTTTCATTACATATAAGTTTAAGGATATAAATTTTTAAAATAAATTTTCATATATAAACAGATTTATGTATAAAGAATTGGAGAGAAAATCAGTGTATTAAGTTGAGATTATCAGGGAATTTTAAGGTTGTTTGGAAATATAGAATGTAAAGATGCAAACTATTTGGACCCAAAAACCTGATACCCAGAAAGGTGGCATTTAGCAAGGATGCTAAAACAATGACAGAAATAAAAATGTAATACCTTGAACAGACATCCTGCCACTGTAACTACCATTTTGTCTTTAGTGGCTATTACTTCAACCCCTTTTGAAAAATAGTCACTAATAGTTAAAATGTATTTACAACCATCTTCACTAATTGGACTGAGTGGGCCAATAAAATCTATGCCAACCATATACCATGGAGCTTTTACCTTTATTGGGTGCATCTCTGGTTTTCCACAGTTTAACTTTCTATTTATTCTCTGGCATACATCACATGATATAAGCTGAAACAGAATAGAATGGTATAGCAATACTTTATTATAAATTATTGGGGAAAATCAAAATTTTCTCTATTTACTCTAACGCATAATAATACAAAATGTAAATTACCAACTCATGGACATTTTTTACCATTCCGTGCCACATGAAACGCTCTTTTACCCTGCCTAATGTCCTTGTTTTACCCATATGGCCAGAAGTAGGATGAACATGGCAAGCTACTAATATTTTTCTTCTCTCATCATGATTTATGATGTATCGCAGAAATAGTTCCTTTAAATAACAACATTGCATAAAAGTATTAATTTATAATTGTTATTCAAGAATGGCTAGTGGCAGTCATCATGGCTATGTATGAAAATGTCACAACAACAATCAAAACAAGAGATGGACAGAATGATAGTTTTGAAGTAAAAGTTGGTGTGCATCAGGGTTCAGTGCTTAGTTCTTTGCTTTTTATTGTTGTTTTAGAAGCTCTCTCTAAAGAGTTCAGAGTTGGTTTACCGTGGGAGTTATTTTGTGCAGATAATTTGTGTCTGATAGCAGAAAACAGAAACAGAAGAGGAATTAGTATTAAGATTTGAAATTTGGAAAGATGGAATTGAAGCTAAAGGGCTTAAGATAAACATGAATAAAACAAAAGTTATGCACTGTACAGTCAAGAATTAACAAGCAGAAAATACTGGGAAGTGGAGTGTCATGTGGAGTGTGTAGGTATGGAGTTAGAGCAAATTTTATTGTTTGTACAGTTTCTAGGCAATTGGTTCATAAGAGATGTGGTGGTAAACAAGGCTCTCTTAAGATTGTTGATTTTGAGTGTAGAAAATGTATTCTTGGTGAGTATAGAGTAAGTTAAAAAAGAGGTTGAAATAAAAAGTAGAGGAAAGATAGAGTATGTTATTAAATTTTTTTTATCTTGGAGATACAATTGAATCAGCTGGAAGAGCAGAAGAAGCATCTAGGGCAAGAATAAGGTTTGCTTCAGAGTAAGTCAGAGTAAGGTCTCTATCATTAAAGAGGGGAGGAGAGGGGCTACTAAGAATTAATTGATTGAAAAAGAAACTAAAAGCAATAAAGGTCGATGATGTTCAGCGTTCGGAAAGGATAGAAAGGATGATGATTAGAAGGATGTCCAGTGTGACTCTAAAAGACAAAAAAAGCAGTGATGATTTAAGAATAAGATTAGGCATAGTGAGTGTATCTGATAGGGTACATCAGGGAAGACTGAGGTGGTTTGAGCATGTAGAGCGTAAGGATGCAGATGGTTATCAACATGTAAAAAGTTAAAAGTTTCAGGAGAAAAAGGTAGAGGTAGAAACATAAAAACTTGGAAAGAGTGAGTTTCAGATGATTTGAAAAAGCTACATTTCAGGAAAAAAAAAATGTTTAAGTGTATAGAAAAATATCATTATCATAAAAAACGTTTAAGTGTATAGAAAAATATCATTATCACTAAAATGATAATATTTTTCTATAACTTATTTTGTTATATTCAGTTATTAAAACTATGTCATCAATAAGCTATAGCAAAAATACAGACAAATATAAAAATCAATTAAAGTTGCAAAGCAGAAATAAAAACAATTTACAATTTTATTTTTTTGAGCTATATTTCTATGTTATATGTTACATGTATATTAATTTGAATATCATTTCTTAATTTAAAATGTAGCTTGCAGAAATTTCAAATTTAGGTTAAATTTGATGAATTAGGCTAAATAATGAATAATATTAACTGCTGTTTATTTTAGAATAAATAATTGTTATGAATAAATATTGATAAATCAAGCATTGAATTGTCAGTATTTGTTTATTACCTTGTTCAAATCAAATTAAATATACTCTGAAATTAGTTGTTAACATTTCAAGGATATTTACAATAATATATATACTAGTATAAAATAAATTTCTAACAAATACAATAAACAAAGTTAAAGATATAAACATAGTTAAGCTATTAAACAGTTATACAAATAAAGTAAAAAATAGTTTGAAAATACAACACATCAATATAAACAACAATGAAAATAATAACAGCAACAATAATATGATATTAATACTCATTACCAAAATAAAAATAAACATCAGATCAAAATTAAAGCTAAAATATATCAATAATCAATAATAAATAATAAGTAGTTAAACATGTATTAACATAATATTACTATCACCTAAAAATACAATAACAACAAAATAATAATAATAACAATAATAATAATAATAACAACAATAATAATAATAATAATAATAATAATAATAATAATAATAATAATAGTAATAGTGAGTGTGTATTTATATAAATATTGTTACCAATATTTATATATAAACGAGTTACCTTGTCTTTCTTTTTATACTTATATAGTAATTCCCCACCTTCCGAAATCATAAACTTTAAGGCTTTTTTTCTAATGACTCTTTTCTCGCCTTCTAGACTTCCATCAGGGTATTGCTTTTTACTTAAATAAGTAAAAACTTTTTGAACAAGGTCTTCTTCCATGATAATTTAAAAGATATATGCGCACATGCCACACACACGGTTCGGTGTCTTTAAAGCGAATCTTTTAAGAGCGAAAATTTTGAAAGCGAAAAAGTTAAAAGCGAATGCGATTGGTTAAGCGAGAAAATTTTTTTAATAACATTGGTAACATCTTAAATTAGGTTGGCAAAAGAAACTATCGCTCAAATGTCGATCAAAGTCCACTTGTAATTATGAGTAGTTTGCGTAAGGTATAATTATGCCAGTTATAAAATTTCTAAATGCGCGAAATTTAAAGAGGTTTTTAAAAGAACACAAATATCGAAACGATTAAAAATGGATGTGTCAATGAAAAGGTAGTTTTAAAAAGTTATTTAGGGTTTCCATAAGTTAATTTAACAAAGTATGAATGATTAAAAAAAAAAAAGACTAAATAGTAAAATCGAATTGTTCACTAAATATTACAATAATAATACAAAAAAATTAAAGTATTAAAAAAAAATTATAATTTTTTTAATTATAAGTCTTTATATATTGGCTAATCATTGATAAGCCTATATATATAGGTTCATCATTGATAAGCCTTTATCAATTATAATTATCAACGATATATATTGGCTTATCAAAGTCTATATATATAAAGGCTTATTATTGATAAGCCTATATATATGGGCTTATTGTATATACAAACTTATTATTTAGTTCAGATTTATCAGATTATGATGACATAACTGAAATTTCAAATGATGAAGCAGAAGATTCTTTAAATGTGCAAGGTTATTTGATTAATTTTTTATGATTTATTTTGATTTAAATTATGTAAAAATATTAAAGTATTTGGTACCAAATGCATGTTTTTTAAGTTAATAAAACAATTATTAGTTTTAGAAAAAAATACAACACACATTTGCAATTCTATTGAGGAAGCTTCAAAATGTCTTGTTTTAGATAATGAACAAAACAACATATTAGGTTTGCAAGGTTTTTGTTTATTTTTGTTATGAGTCAATTTGTCATAGTTATACTGAAATTTTGATTGAATAAAAAGATTTAAACTCTAAAAATGGATCAAAATTTAAAATTTTAGATAACATGTACATTTACATTTGTGATTCTGTGGAAGAAGCTGATCTATGTCTTCAAAATTATGAGATATATAATTCTGTTCGGTATGCTGCCTTTTTAACCCCAAAGAACTTTGGTAATACAGGTATTTGAATCAGTATATTCGGTTTGATTTTGAAGTCTTCTAATCATCATCTCTAATCAACTTGACTGTTTTATACATTTTACACACATGGCTAGTTTTCCTTTTTCCACTTCATTGTGAGCTTTATTTCTATTACAATAAATGTAAGTACATACTATTCAAAACAGATTTTATAAGTTAAATATTTATTTAGATATGCATGCTGATAAGCACAAAGTATTGTGGGAAATGTCCTCAGACTTTCATAACACTCCTTTTATTATTCTGTCAACAAAAAGATTTGACTGTCATCATGGCTTTGATAGAAATTCTTGTAAAAAGCAGAAATATATAAAAGCAAAAAAAAATCAGGTAGCAATCTTAACAATCCAGCAGTATTAATATGTTCTAACTTTGCATTATTTTTTTATTTGTTTGAGCAGTGCTGGATAAAATGCTTTATAAAAGTTTTAAAATAAAAATATTTAAAAAGTATTTAAAATAAAAATAATTTTAAAAAGTATTTGAAGTACCAAAACTTACAACTATGGCCTTTTTCAAAATTTATTTGATAAATGTGAAATAATTTAATAATCACTCTAATTAAACCAAGGTAGACAGTAAGAGTTATAAAACAAAAAATAAATCAAAATAAATAGTGGCAGAGTGAAACTATGACAAACAATTAGTTAAATATACATGTGCATTGTGGATGTTTAAAGAAGTATTTGAATTACAGGTAATTGCAATTAGTACAAAATACTAATCAAAAGTATTTTAAGTCAAAATGCTAAATACTTCCTACAAAAGTATTTAAAATACACATACAAAGAAATACTTAAAATAGTATTTTAAATACTTAATATTTCAAATATTCCCAGTGCTCTATTTGACATTATATTACTCTGCCTAATAGTATATTGATTTACTTTAATATTTTATTTTTTCAGTTAGTTCCATTCCCTATTAGAATTTCAGTATGTTACTAATATAGTTAGTTTAATTGCAAATTAGTGTTGCATTAATTTCTTCATTTAATATTATTTTTTTCATTAAAAATATTTCCTGTACATCTCATACAATATATTTTATATACCTATGTTATGTTTATTATTCAAAATCATTATGTGTTATGTATTATTTTATTCAAATGTTAAATTATTTAACAATCCTGTAAGAGATAGCTATGTGCTGCTTATTTGATTTTAAAACACAACTGAAAACTAAAGGTTTAATTATTCTATGTTGTGTTCTGTAGAATGACTTTAAGTGTAAGTCATTATGCAGCACATGTCTGTTAATAACATTTTATTGGAACCAGAGCTGTGGTCTTCAAATTTAAAATCCCTCGAGTTAAAAATTTACAACTATAAATATATAAATCATTTTCTTTTTTTTTTACTTAACTTGATAAACTAAAATAAGAGTTGGAACTTGACTTTAGCTATAGTGTCAATGTGATTTGACTTGAACTTCAAGTCAAGTCACAAGTTACGTATTTAACCTCAAAAATTATTTAGCAAAATATTATTTAGTGAATATCAGCAGCAATAAGAAGCTTACTTTGGTTCTGTTTTTTCATATTACACTATAGGCATATTGCCAGGGTTGGGGAGCTGGAACCAGAAGTGTCAATACCATTTGAAAAAGACCTGCTTTTAGGCTCCTTTTAGCTTAAATTTTTATTTATACAGTTTCTAATTCTATTTATCAATTATTGTTGTAAAATTCGAAAACAGCCTTTCATTCAGTCTATGTGATAATTTATAAATAAATTAATAAATATAATAAATTAATGATTATAATTGATTTAAAAAATACATAAAAAGATATTAAAAAGAGTCAGAGCCTTAGAAAAAGTTGGGAATCAGAGTTTGTGCAATACATTCCAAAAAACTAAAATCCAGAGTCAGAGCTATAAGTTTGAATAAACTTAGAGCTCGAGCCATTCATTTTTTTTTCGAGCTCCCCACCCCTACATATTGAGGTGCACTGTTAATGATAATGAGACATAACAAAAAAATTAAAGAATACAAAGACACAAAGCAGAGTTTTTTGTAATTTTTTTTAAAATTATGAGTCTTGGCCTTTATTTTACCTTTTCACATTTTTTACTACCCAGCTAACACAAAACGTTCAAGTATGTTCGATGAACATTGCAAACATTCAAGCACGTTCTATGAATATTCGTAGAATGTTCTTGAATGTTGGCACATTCGTTGAACGTTTTGTATTAGCTGGGTATATCCTCATTGATTTTTGCTGTCTGACAACCTTCTAGCAAATGATTGGAAAAGCAATGAATCCAAAAACATTTTGTCTGGACAGTTAAATTGAGCTGGATTTGCTAGACTCAAGACATTGGTTGTCACAGGTCTCAGTCAAATGTCTTTTAATAACAGATGTTACTTTAGAATTCAAAAAGAACTTAAGTTTCAAAAAGGTTAACAATAATATGAAAATAATAAATTTAGTTGTTTCATTCTATGTAAATTACTTGTTTTTGTCACTTGAATGTTGATGTAAAAAAAAATTTTTTTTTCTTCAAAAAGTTAACATGAAAGAGGTTGTGTACTTTACTAACTTAAAGGTAATAAGTTTTGTCAGCGTTTAAAACTTTCAAAATCTCTTTAAACTATTTTTTTTTTTGGATTTTTTTTAGGTTGTTAACCCAAGTAATTATTACAAGAGGCAAGTGTCTAAAAGTATTCACAATGCTTTGTCACAACAAAATGTTATGACATATTCTAAAAAGATTAAGGTTGAGATAGACAACTTAATATGTCACAAAAATCATCCTCTTGGAAAGGTAAAATTACACAGCTTTTATAGAAGTTGTAGGTATTTTGATAATTGCATTTGCTTTAACAAGTAGTTATTTTCTATAAATGTTTACTTAAAAAGTTTACATCACTATGGTAGTTAGGGTGGTCCAAAAAAGTCAAAAAAGTTTTATATATTTCAGAGGCATATTGTTTGTTATGTTCAAAAAAGCCACTGTGCAAAATATTACATAGTTTGGACTGTATTTAGAGGTTGCTCAATGCTATCAAAGTTTCAAGCTATACATCAAATGAATCATATATTAAAAAAAATGCAAATTGCAGGAACAAATAAATAAATTTAAGACGGCTTTCGCAATTATCAATTAAAAATAAGCCTTATCATTGACGGTCGCCTCAATGATTGTGCGGGTCTCTATAACTGGAATACGTGCCTTTGTCCACAAGAACAGCACTTCGTCAATGACTTGCTTGCGATTCTCCTAACTGTTGCTTTCAATAAAGAAGATACACTTTAAAACATTCTGTTGGAAGGAATCGCTCACCAAAATTCGCAAATGGTTGCCCAATCAAATATATTTCTGTTGCTTTTCGTGTTTGTATATTTATTGCAGTTGTAACCATTTTTTATTCTAAATTATTTGACCTGCAATAAATTGTGCAAACAAACTCTATTAAAATGAATGAAGAAGTGTTAATGCAAAAAGTTAATTCCGTAATTAGTAATAATATTACCAAGTAAGGGTGTTTAAAATTGTATGTAATAATTATTCTAGAAGTATACTAAGTATAGTGCTGACATCTACTGAATGAAATAAAAATTTTTACAATATTCCTACACTGATAATGAAACACAATGATTAAACACAACAAAAATACAGTCTGCACAAAAACTCTAGTTTTTAAAACTTTTTTGGCAAAACCATAAAATATTATAGACTTTGATATGCTTGAGCAACCCCTAAATATATTTTTTTCAACCTGAAACTTTGTGCAGTTCATTTTTAAACCAAAAGTAAGTCAACATGTCAACATGTCTTACATAAGTCAACATAAGTCAACCCTGAAGTCAACATAAGTCAACATGTCTTATTAATTTAAACAAAAAAAGGAATTATTCAGATATATCTGTATAGTTTTTTCAGCTTTCAGTTTGTATTAAAATGTATTATTTGTTATTAGTTAGTTTCACAATATCATTTATATGTCATTATAAAGAACCAATCAAAACCATTGAAGTGTGTAAAAATAGATGTAAAACTTACACACATATCATGAGAGTCTTAAAGCCACTTGATGCATTATTTACTATATTGCATCAAGCATCAAGGTTAGAGGTTGTAAATTTACAAACTTTTTTATTTAGTGCTTGATTTAGCGAAAGTTAAATTATTTGCAATAATTGAATATATATATATATATAATATATATATATATATATATATATATATACACACACACAATTATAACAATATTAGACAATATTTTTGTCCTTTAGAATCTTCAGTAATGTAATAATTGATTATTTAAGATAATCTTAGCAATATAACTAGAAAACTGTTTTAAAAACAATTTAAAACATTTGTTGTGTCATGCCAAAGTGCTAAAACTACAGAGTAGTGGGCCAGCATTATGCAAACACCAATGACATATCTCATAAGTATGTGCTCATAAGAGTACTCAACACTGAAGATTCTCTAGTATAGCCTGATTAAATACACGATTTGGAAACCTGAGAATGATGGGTTATGGTGTTACACAAAATCTTTTTATAAAAGTTTTTATAATAGCAATGGTAAACAGACAATTGCTTTCTGAAGAATTTTTTTGGTGGATAGACATGGAACTAATGATTATGATTAGATATTGGAGTAGCACAATAAGAAGAAAATCACAAAAGTTGAGTGAGATTTGACTAGAAATCATTGAGATGAAATAAAAGATTCCATGCTAGCCTGTATCCAAGAAATAACTTAGGAAGCTTATCTGTTAGCAGAAATACAAAATTTTTTTACCTAAAGCAAAAAAAATCAAAGACAGAATCCCATTTACATTTTAAGGTGGTTTTAATATTTTTTCAATTAACACATTAGTTTATTTTTTAGATTCTCAAACATTGACCAGGAATGCTTAGAAAGCAAAATAAAAGAGTGGAAGAATAGAGATGATTCTCTTAACATCCATTTTGAACCAAAAGTGAGTGAACATCAAGATGAGTTCCTTTTTGTTTACCAAGCAGGCTGGCAAAAGAAACTGCTCAATAAATATGGGAATGAAATGATCTTTTTAGATGCGACATACAAAACCACTCGGTATTCGTTGCCCTTGTTTTTTTTAGTTGTAAAAACTAATGTTGATTTCCAAATTGTAGCAACATTTGTTTCAGAAAATGAAACCTTTGAATCAATTAAAAAAGCATTGAATGTAATAAAGTATTGGAATATTGATCTGAAACCCTTATATTGTATGACTGATTATTGTAATGAGGAAATACGAGCTGTGGAAACTGTTTTTATTGGTTTGTTTCTTACTGTTTATCTACATTTACTTATAGAAATGATTTCTTTGTTTTATATTAACCAATCTTAAACACAAATTGTTTTTGAAATGAGTGTCATG